TTAGGCTCCATTCAGAATAGAGGACAAACTAGTCCAAGGGTAAAATATGGCCGACCCACTTGAATAGTTCCCCATGGGGAATCTATTCAGTGTCTATTAGTGGACTGGAGGGCAAGCTTTGTAGTGGGTCACCATATTTGAACCTGGGATTATTAGTCCCCTATCTGGGGTAGTGCTAGCAATTTTTTTCGCTTAGCCAAATCACCACTTTTTTGTCAGTTTGTTAAACAAATGGCTTTAATTTGACTAAAATTAGTCACATCAAGACCTTTTTGTTTAGCCAATTTAAGTCAGTTTTAGCATTTGGCTAAATTGGCGAGTATTAGTGCTACCCCAGTCTATTCTAATTGGGGGCTTAGACCAATACTGCAGAAAGTCATCTACATGTAGTCTGCTATCCAGTATTAGCTGGCTAAACTTGGCCCATGAACTTTGAACTCATTGTGGAACAGGTGCTTAGTATTCAAAGCTTCTGAAGCACAGTCATCATACATACAATATTGATAACAGTGATCCTTTCATCAAATCAAAGGAGAACAATGAGAAAATACTTCACATGGCTTTCCATGTGCCAAGCACCTATCTGTTACATACAAAAATACATTCAGTCTTAGTCACGTTGCTTTTAGCACGATAGTAAATATTTAGTACAAATAACAGTAATAAATTCACTGGTCTTTCTTTCTTAAATTCCAGCTTCCTCATTTGGCAGTACCAAAAATCAATTTTACATAAAAAATAAATCCTGCAAAATGTATTCTTTGAATTTACACAATGTAAAAACAATACCTAACAGATGAAATTTCAAGAAGAATTCAACCTTTTCAAAAATGATGCAATGAAATAAGAAATAGTCATCTTTCATGAACTTATGGCCTACGAGCTCTTGCTCTAAGAACTACCATTCTTCGTCCCAACAACAGTCCGAGACCCAGAGTAACCAATGTTGTCGTGGAAATAGCAACAGGAACACTGGGAAGGTAACGAAACTTGGCAGGAATCTGGTAACTCATGTCCTGATAGATAAAATATGTATATTAGGATTATGCATGACACATGGATGTAAAGACTTTATGTAAGCCAAATATATATATATATATATATATATATAGGGACAGAGTGAGAGATGTTATTGGCATAAATAATCTGCACTGTGGAAGTTAGGTTTCGTATTTTAATCATTTTTTTTTTGTTTATATCAGTCCCACCAACTTCATTCATGTAAATCACTAAAACCAAACAAGATTAACCAAAAAAAAAAAAAAATCATTTCTATATAAATTTATTGTTATCCTTCCACAAAAATTTGTTACCATGTTAAGCCATTGTGAACCGGAATGGATGGAATTTAAACTTTCTAGCAAAAGCAACTAAAATGTTTTCATGTGGCACAAAAAGTGAACAGAACCAAACCTAGTCACATTTTAATTTAAAAACTTTGATTTCTGTGCCTTTGATACAATCAAGCGAAATCAAATTAACTGCAATGAATAATGATAAAACTAAAACAAAACATGACAAACGCTTCCACTAATGTGTTACACCTTCCAATAATACGCTAATTACTCCATCTTTTCAAATACTGTATTTTCTAGGTCATAACTTCTTAAAATTAGAACATTCCTACTGAGTGGTAGCAACAAAATTATTAAGCAGGCTACTCTATTGTTCCAATTCTATGCAGTAAACACACCTCAAATGCTATCTAGAAATATCATTTTGTGATAATAAAATTATGTATAGGAAAGTTTGATAAATTTTGCCCAATGTAATAACCAGCCGGTTGGTTATACACTTTTTTAAGAGTTGCTTTTCACCAGTAAGACAACTGAGACAGGCAGGTGTAGTTTTCTGTTACATGATTTACTCAATCGACTTTGCAACTCAGGTCTCTCCTATGTGTCAGAGACTTGAGCTGTACAGTCAATTGAATAAATCATGTAGCAGAAAACTATACCTGCCTGTCTAACCAGTGTATAACTANCCCTGCACGCACTGAGACAAATGGCATTCAAATAAATTTCGAATTTTAGGAGTCACGGGCTGATGAGGTAAAATGCACAAGAACTAAAAACTGCTTACAGTGCTAAATGTTTACTATTGATAGAAATGATAAAGCCCCTCAGGTAGTACTTGATGTCGATATTTTCTCCCTGGCGGGCTTAACCTTACGGAAAACATTTAAAACTTAATTATTGAATTAAAAATGACATAAAAACAGCGAATATAAGTGCAGAAACGGGTCGAGAAATGATGAGTTGGGTAAAATTCTTTCAAGGAAATTTCGCATATGATATCTTTATTAAAATTGGCTCTTAAATTACTTGATTAGTTTTATGATTTAATGATATCATTTTGTTTATATTATAAAGCGCAGTTAAAGAACAAAATTTTTACTTCCAAATAAACCTTCCAATCTGTATTAAATGTCCGTTTCATATTTTAATATTTATTATATTTCTTCCCAGTAATGTTAGTAATGTTAATCTTATGTTGGATCCTAGCTAAACGATACTTGGAAGGTATTCTATATACGGGATTTTCGTCTCTTTCTGGTACTCGCGAATCGTTGGTCGACCCGTCCCTGAAATAAATTAGTTCTAAACTAATCGTGACATTTTTGAAGGAAGTATTATAACAACATTAGGCTTATTTGGGAGATAGGCATGTCTGAATTAAAAAAGATAAGTAGCTTTACAGGATGTTTAAACATAAAAATATGACTTTATGTCATTTTAAATCACGCAGACCCATAGAATACAATAAAACACGAGAAATATTGTCAAAAATTCATGAAAAGTAAATGAAGAGCACAACGGGTCACCATTCCAATCTTCTGAATATTTCAATTTAGTTCAGATACCACGCAAAGCACTAGAGTTCACTAGAAAATCAGCCCTATATTATCTGTAGGTCTCTGCCGTTTACAGTGTCCGTTTACTAATAGTTGCAGGGGCATGCTAACAAATGCTAAGGCGAGTTAACAAACTACTCCCTGCTGCGCACCTTATTACCCATCAGCAATCTCGTCTTGGTTAATGTGTTATTAGCATCGATGACATACTACGATTCTTTGGTCAGACAAGCATCTTTTGAGGTATATTCACATCCTGTTTGTTTAAAAGTGGTTTGAAATTAAGGAAGATATGTCATTGGAGACCGTCCCAAAAGACCTGAGAAACTTAAGAGCATGTTTATTATGTTCTCTTGTAAAGGTAAGTAGTTGGAATCAAAGGTTTCTTTTCCATCTGCTCGTGGCTAGCCGAGCCATTGTCTCTGAACTGTGAGTAGTGTTCAAGCCTTGCACAAAATATTACATGGCTGCATACAGCGAAATTACAACATTTTAAATAACATCTTACGAATTTAAGCATGATTATAATACTCACTGTCTGCGATATAACTTTTTAAAACATTTAATCATTTGTTTCTGCTCCCTATTGTTTTCAGACATTTGAGCAGTTTGAGCGCGATGGCTGTGACAATTGTGAGGAGTACCTGCACATGAAAAATAACAGAGATGCTGTATACGACTGCACAAGTTCAAGTTTTGATGGGTATTGTTTGTGATTATTTGTCACTGTGAATTAAAATTAATGTTTTAATTCTGAAAATGATTGGTATTTATTAGTATAGTTATGAATACGTAATAGTTATAAAATTTATTGTAAATTTTATGTCGTTGGACTTAAGCATGTTGATATTTTTACTGATCAAACTAGTTATTCTGTAGACTTATCATTTATTCATTTTTTTGTAGGTTAATTGCAGAAATGGGCAATGAAGACAGTTGGGTTGCCAAGTGGCAGAGGATAAGTGAGTATCACAAGTTACCAATATAATGTCTGTCTCAAAATTAGCTCAATATGTCACATCTGCAGTGTTTTTCAAATATTGTTGAGTTATATAAATATATAAAGTAGCAGGACAGGAAAGATTTGAATACTAGTACTTCTGCAATGTAAATGTGAATTTCAGATCGTTTTGTGAAAGGATGCTATGCAGTATCAGTGACTGGACGGTTGCCACCAGGGATAGCAAGAGAACTAAAAAGCAAAGGCATAATATACAGATCAAGAGACACCAGTCAGAAGACATGATAACATCTGTCTGAGACTTATTGGTTGAGACTTTGTAGCAACTGCCAATTGTGGCAGGAACTGAAAATCTACACAAACACATATTGCCAGAACTGTGTACACTAGTCTGTGGGCAAAAGTGTTGGTTGATGTTGAGATAGGATCGTAGTTCTGGTATTAGTATTATACTTTTTTTAAGTCTTGGAATATAATTATTTGTCTCAAAATTGAATTCTACTGCAGGTAAGGTCATCATTCCATTTTGAGATGCACAGCCATGTTCAATTTTTTAACTGTTCAGCTGTGACCATAAGCCTATTGCATAGAAAAAACTTCCAGAATAGCACATAAGGTTGCTAAATTTCTAGAAATTATTATATTTTTTCTGGAAAGGTTCACAGATGACCAATACTAAGGGATTTGTTGTTGTTACTGTCACTTTATAACAGCTTAAGCTGGATGTTAATGAAGTAACAAAAGTCAAGTTTCTTGGTGTTAATTAAAAGACTGAATAAAAAGCTAATGATATCTTCTTCGTTTTAGTACATAAAAAAATTCTGGGCCCAGTTTTATAAAGGACGTTTAGCACTAACCAGTGTTTAACTCTAACCAGTGGATAAATTCTCCTAAACCCTGTCAACTAAACGGATGAAATTGTGTTTCATAAACAGTGTTTAAACAGTCCGTTAGTTAACTGACCTTTAAATAATTATTTTATCCAGTTTAACACTGGCCAGTTAACTAATTGGCTGTTTGAACACTGTATATGAAACACGTTTGAACCATCTTTTAGTGAATGGGTGTTAGGAGAATTTATCCACTGGTTAGGCTTATCCACTGGTTAGTGCTGAACATCCTTTATGAAACTGGGCCCTGGTTTTACTATAGTTATTGTGTCCTTATTATATCTATATCCTAGTTCTACAACTGACTTTTCTTGATCTGAGCAACTATTTTCCGCATGCTTCTGTCAGCAGCAGCAATATTTTGTTGAATGACTTTCTTTTCCAAATCTAGGGCTGGACGCACTGACACACATTTAAATGTAGTTCCATCATTATTGAGGCTTCCTACACACCTAAGAAAGAAAACATAATTTAACTGCTGTGTTAAGTTTAACATTTAAAGGATTTCATTGTTTTCAACTGAAAGAGAAATTCCATGATTATCATAAGTAATATGGACTGACACAGTCACTTGACCTGAAGAGAGAACTGTTTGCTTTGTGAAATTACCTCTCATCAACAAATACAAAAATTATCTACTTAATTCAAAGAATGAAATATACCTTAGCAATTGTCCCCTGATCAACCTAGGGAGGGGGCGGTCCTAAATCGATATTTTTACACGTTAAAAGTCAGTCATGAAATGTGCATACTGGTTGCCATATTGAGAAGACAGATGAAAGGACAAATAATCATTAAACTCAACAATATATATATATAAAACATTATTTTGAATATTGAAATTTTTTTATTATTTTCAACCTTTTAGGTAAATTTTACAGGAATAATAAAATATTCTTACCAGCTTACTCATTAATGTAATAGTAGCACTGTGAAAAGGGTATTAAATAAAACTTGTGGCAATTTGCCGCTGATGTTCACTTACTATTTCATAAAATGTGCATAAAATTCTCTGCTTGCAGTCTTTCATTTCAAATGTTTTCCCAAGGTTGTCTGGGGTAGAAGATATGGCAGAGTCCAGGTGAGCTGAAAAGGGCAGAACTGTTTACATATAGCAAAAAAAAAAAAGAAAAAATACATGCACACAGACACACAAATAATAGAATGTTTTATCAGTTAATATAATTACAGATTGTTCCATGTTTTATATAGTTTGCTATGCCTTTGAAATGGCATAATAAAAACTAAACCACAGAAATTACCAACCTACCATATATTTCAAAGATAAGAGGAATGTCCTTTTTATATTGTGACCAATGCTTCATGCCTTCTATGGTGGCAGTTAGGATCTTTAAACTTGTGTCAGGTTGAACAGGCTTGTACAATTTAGTATCAACTGCTTCATTTTCTACTGCAGCTTGGTTTCCATATGGTGTCTAGTTAAATATGAGAAAAAAGAAATGCTAGTTACATTCATAGGTCATCTAGAAAAATCTCAGAAAGCAATGTCAGTATGGGGCCATGTATATAACAAAAACCTGTTACTGGCAATCCTTCATAGGATTATTTGTTAAACATTTTCTACACATTTAGCTCAAACAATTTCTCTCATAAAGATCATCAATTTTTTCATAGAAATAAAATGTTTTATTAAAATTCTGTGTATCTTAAGGCCCCTAAAAACTGCAAATCAACTTTTTACTACAAGTAAATGTTTACATAACAGCTTCATTAGATTTAGGCACATACCTGTTGAGCAAATTGTTGAAATTGTTGTCTTCTGTTTGCAGGTGGCATACATGGCAAACCATATGAGTGTGGCCTTTTCTGTGGACTGGGTTGAATTTGTGGCCTTCCATACCCAGATGGCATATGAGGCATACCATATGGCTGCTGTCCTTTTAGTGGACTTGGGTGAACAGGGTGCCCACCACCACCACCATCATGTTTTGTCACATGTTGCTTACTGCCATATGAACTTGGAACAAGTCTGAATGAAACAAACTACACATTGTATAACCAAAAGGGACAATGCATTTTCAATGTAACTTTTTCTGGAATTAAAAAAAAAGATGTATTTTCAAATAAGTGAAAAAATTAACTGTATTTGATGAACAAAAATGTTATCATGAAAAGTGAATTAATATGTTTTCTGTGAAATGTTTTGTGGTTTGTTTTGTACCTTCTATCCTGTGTTGGTGGATTTTTCTTTAAGTCGTTCATTGTTGAACTTGTTTTTGAGAAACAAAAATGTTATTAATGAAAATTGAATTAATATGTATTCTGTGAAATGTTTTGTGGTTTGTTTTGTACCTTCTATCCTGTGTTGGTGGATTTTTCTTTAAGTCATTCATTGTTGAACTTGTTTTTCTGGGATAAGGCATCAATCCTGATTTGGAATCTGGGGCATAGCTTTTCTTTCTTTGATCCTGTTGTATAAAACTCCTTCTGGATGTATGGACAACTGTTCATGCCAACAGATTTATGTTATCATATAGATTAGTTTTTGTTACTTTAAATATATATATATATATAGACCCCAGTACTACTGTTAGTTCAAAATTAATTTATTAATGAAAACATATAAGCCTTGCAACTATAAAAATTGGTGCATTACATTTTTTATCTACACAATTATTTATCTCCCTGTAACTTATGGTGAACTAAAATATCCAGTTTAGGTTCTGAGTACAACTTGAAATTATCAACTTACCTTGATTTTTTTCCAATTCCCCAAAATAGTCAGTATTTGGCCATTTATATTGTTTTTGAGGTGCCATTTGGCTCTTATTGTTCTGCATATATGCCTGGCCACTTGATGCCCATGGCCTCATTTCTTTTTCACCTTTTATGAAATATAAAATATCAATGTTGTGATTTAGATTGCATTTTTAACCATTTACGTTATGCATTTATGTTATATATAACCCATCTAGTTATATTATGTGTGTATTTTACTGAAGTGATACTGCACAAGTAGACTCTACCGTGTTTTTCACAAGTAATTAAATATATGTTACAATGAAACAAAATGTGTTTTCTCACCAGCTCCAATACCCAAATTATGTTCCATTGACTGCAAAGCCTGTCTTGGTCTCTTTCGTTTGTTAAAAATAGGTGCGAAAGTCATTTTCCTGCCGAATTAAGGAAGTGTAGGTCTACATAAATTTCCGTGCACAGTCTCTCTTATCGTCTGCAAGTACAACACGAACATTCTTCCCTCCAAACATTAAAGAGTGAAAATTCCCTTGAAAGACGTTCTGTTGACGTATTCTTACTGAAATCAACCAAACCACCTCATCCCCCTTTTGCTGTCTTTTAAGTAAAAATAATCTCTTTGTCAGTTTTCCTTTTTCATGTCTGGTAGTTTTTCCTGGATTTTTATTGAAGGGTCAAGAAGCAAACAATGTAGGAGGAGGAGGGGGGTGGCACTATGGGGGTCCGTGTATGGGGGGGCAAAGTGATTTCCATTTCGTCAGAAAATGAAAAAACGGCCGTTTTTCCTTTTCATTTGATAAATTTTCAAAATGAAATGGAAAATCAACCTTGATTTTCGTTTTTCCTTTTAAAATGAAAAATGGAAAAACGAGATTATTTTTCGTTTTTTCCGCTTTTTTATGACATAAAAAAAACAAAAAACGACAGATTCCCAAACGTGATAGAAAATAGAAACATCCACTGTTTTCCCATGTCAAGAGAGTGAAATATA